TAAAAAAACGTAAAAAATATTAAAAAATAAAAATATACAACAACAACCGTTCAAAATTTTCTAGAGTAGGCACTCAATGAACCATAGGCCACACGTCAATAAYATATAAATAAAGAATTCATAATTGAACTGACATAGTTCAGAAAAATCTAAGCAATTCAGCGTAACGGCGAAATGCCAAGCTGCAAGAGATTTAAGAAAGGCCACGTCGGGGYCAAATTCTACGATTGATACCACTTTATTTTCGTATGCAATTGACCCAAATCACATGCAGGCGAGCAATGGCCAACGACGATTGAAAAACAAATTGAACTTTCGGCGTTGCCAACGACAGCAGCAGCACCACAGCCAAGTGAGCGAAAAGGAAATGCATATTTTTTGTACATTTTCCAGTGAAGCATTTATACGGGCATGAGTATGAGAAAATGCAAAAGCCAGAAGTTAAGTGCATAATAAAACAAAAAATCAAAATGTGCTTGTTCACACACATACATACATACATATACTAAGCTTGCAAAATATTTTGCTTTAGTTTTAACGTTTTTTGCTTGCGCAATTTTTACCTTTCGTTTGTGCTTGCAATGATTTTCGGTTCACTGCCTTTTCAACTTATGTGCATTTTTTTGTTTTTGCCTTATTATTCTTGGCAATTTTTTTCTGAAAATCCACTGCTTAACTTACCTGCTTGTAGCTTTGTTGTTGTTGTTGGCGTTTTCGTTAACTTGTACACCAGTCAGTTGATTTTCAAATCGATTTGAAGCGCATAAACGCGAAAGCTTGTAAAATATGCRCTATAACTCCCCTCACTTCTACAACTGTGCGGGGAATGCGCTTTTGCACAGATTATTTCCTTTGTGTTGTCAAATTTTTTTTTCGTATTTCACATTGCTTCATAAAAATTGCTTGAAAGTAAAAGTGTGCACAAACTGTAAGAGAAGAGCAATACAAAAAGTTTGTTTAGAATAATTGAATGAAAATTAAATTTTGTAACAAATATTTTTTTTTTGTAATATTTAGTATAAAAAAAATATATTATTTTAAAATTAAAATTTTTATTTTAAAAGAAAAATGCACAAAATCTTGCATACACAATATAACAAAGTGCCATGTAAACATCCTGTCTCTTATACACATCTAGATGTGTATAAGAGACAGGCTCTAAGCTTTCATACAATATTCTACAATATATTAAATTTAAATAAATTTTTAATTTTTAATTATTAATACTTAGTAACAACTAATAAAATCAAAGATAAACGAAATTCAACAATATTTTGAAAATGAGAGAGAGTTATTATCTCCTACTATATACACAAGTGTCAAACTGCTCATAAGCATCTTCTTCTGGCCACAACTGAATGTGGCTATTACTGTTTACCAAAAAAAAATAAAAAAAAAAAACAAAAAATAATTGCAACAAATGAAGTTAATATAAAAAATATTCTAACATATAAATCTATCTATGCACATATGTTTGTATTAATGCCTGCACTTATAATTTYCCCCCGGCAATCTAATACTAAATTTATTCTATTGCTAATTAGTTAATTACTCATTTGGCAAACATATAAACAAACGAAAAAGAGAAGTGTGCTCATAAAATTTATGTTTTAATTGAAATTACTCATTTCGCCATAATTTGTGTGTGYTTTTGCGCTACTTTCAAATGTTATATGCATGCATACTTAAGTAGATAAGAGCTTAAGTACATGTATATAGACATTTTCGAAATCATATTATTTTATGTTTATGTGCATGTGCTMAAGAAGTATGCTTAAGTGAATTTCATTATTCAAAGAATTCTGTTTTGTGTATTGCTGGAAGCATTTCGTATACTAAAAGTTGCCAATTAAATTGAAGAATTTGTGTTTTGTGGAATTTTTCGAAAATGCTTGTTTATTAGTAGAAATATTTTGCATAATTGAAGAAAGTTGTTGCGTTAAATTAATCAAATTAATAAATTACGTTAAACAAATTTCTTTCAAAATTAATTATATTTCATCGAAATGTTTCCATAGTAAAGCAAAAAATTTATTTTCTGCAACAATATTTTCAACTTATACACAGTAGAGTTGAATTTTTTGAAAATTTTTGTAATCTAGTAGAATTTCTAATATTAAGAAATATAAAAAAAAAACGTTAACTTCGGCAAAAAAAGACATAAAGGGATTTTTAAAACAAACAAACATACAAGAACTTGCTTTTGACCGGTCAGTTTGTATGGCAGCTATACGCTATAGTGCTTCGATCTGAACAGTTTCTTCGGAGATTGCAGCATTAGCGTGAACAATACTCTGTGCTTAATTTCATCAAGATATCTCGTCAATTAATTAATTTTCCATACAAAAACTTGATTTTGAACGGTGAGTTTGTATGGCGGTTGTATGCTATAGTGGTCCGCTATCAGCAATTCTAACAAATGTGCAGCTCTTTTGGGAGAAATAGACGTATGCAAAATTTCATAACGATATCTCAAAAAAAATCCCATGGTTTAGCCTGATATGAACAACATTTTCTGCACAAATCTCACTTTGGCTGCTATTAAAACGTGTACAGCTTAAAACCCAGAAAAATAATTCCAAAAAAAGTAATACAAAAGAGACCTKCAATGAACCATGACCCTTAATGCCCATCAAATAAAAATAAATACTTTAAAAGTATAAATATTTCTTCACTGCGATTCAAAGCAACGGAACCACTTCATCGCAGAGTCTTACCAAAAAGAAAAAAGCAACAACGATTACTTCACCTGCGGCGTTTTCTTGTTTACGTGTCGTAACACTAATAACCGCCCCATTAGGCGCATAATTATGACCCATGAAACAATGCAGCCCGGATAAGAGTCATAATTTTTAAATTGCTCTCATAAATAGCAACAGCGACTACTGCAGCAGTTATGTATAACAAGCCGAAAATTGGCAAAAAAAAAAAAAGAAGTGTCGAAGTAGAAACTGTAGAATACGAGCATGGTCGCTGCTGCGAGTACAATTGTGGCCGACGGAAATGATAGCAACTGGACAAGAGTTAGCACATAAAGCGGTTATTGYACCGTGAATATTTCATTCATTCCTTGAATTGAATGGAATTTCGRGGAGTGAGAGAGGTGTTATTGTAGCTGAATATTATGAAAGGGAGCAAGCGACCAGCTGACAATGACATAACTGAAAATAATTTGCTTACAAATGTAATGAAATATACACACATTCGRCATTAGGGTGTGTTCCRCGGTGAGTTCCTAGAGTCGTCTCCAATCAAAAGCAGCGCCTTTACATCGTTCTCAGTAGTTTTCTGAGTGACAACTGATTTTCTGATGTTACAATATCGAATATATACGAAAAAATTCGGAACATTTCCTTTGATTTTGAGCTCTTTTAGTAGTCAGTTTCGATTAGGTCGATCCTAACAAGGATCTCACTAGAACAACTTARAGTGCAGGCCCGCTGTGTTACCTAAAACTCCATTTCGCCATGAACAGGTACCCAAACAAGTAGGATAAAGAATGTATGGACAATGAACTGTAGCCTGTGAAAGGTTTTATTTATGTTCCAAATGGTGGATTTTTGCTTTCTACTGACTTGGTTGTGTGTAGAATTCTGCTGACTACCGAGWCCATATGATTGATTTTCAGGGACTTAAACCTCAAACAATTCATTATGCAGTTTAAGTCGATATTTCCGCTAGATGCCTCAGCCAGAGCTCAGTAACGACGTTATAAAAACTACATATGTATACTATACCGCATGATAATTCCAGAACTGGCTTAGAGACTACTCCAATATTTATATCAAAAAACCTTAGACCACCCAGCTTATACATATAAAACTATTTCATATTCTAGCATACACTAACTCCTTTCATATCAAATTTTCGCTTACCCCATAATACCTCGACTTTCGTGTGGCAGATTTACACGCAGCACTATCATATTTTAATAATAAAAAAGTTGTGTCTTTAGTGCTTTAGTTTCCTTACTTCACTCTTTTCATTCATACTCACTAATGAAATAAAAATAAATTTGATTTTGTCACGTTTTCCTACCCCCACACAAAAGCCGTTACAAGTAAGCTTCAAATCCTGACCGYCTCACATGCCGAGTTTTGCGGCAGGGTTTACGCGGCGTCTCTGTACCCTTCCACATGGCGGGCTGACACAAATCCGCTGCGCTCCGTATTCTCTTACTCACTTATCCTTTCTGCTTACGCTTTTGTGCCGCTATCAACTTTAACATGTTACTTCCGTCGCTGYTCCGCCGGCATTGTTGCGCTACCCTACTATGGTATCACTTTCCTATGGCTTAGCCCCTATTTTCTTTTGTTAACGTTTTTTCCTGCTTTTGCTTTGTTATTGTTTCGCGAACTTATTTGCATAAATTGCTCGGTGCTATCTACTTCGCCATTCTCCGCCGCACGCATTTATGGTAATACACGTGCTTTTTATGGCTTCTACTAAGATTCAAGTGTATAAGCATGGCTGCGTATCCTTCAATATCCTTTAGTGGGACATATACACATTTACTTGATATCACCACTTCAGATTTTTGCGAAAACGAAGGAACTCCGCATGCCATAATCTTTTCAAATATTTAACAGCTGATGCAATTTACCGTYATTGTTGTTAAAGTACGAACTTGTTGTGCAGCACTTTTATACGAATTTTGTTTTCTGTCAACTTTGATTGATGGCTGTATAAGTTTTATGGCTTGACAAATTATTTAGTAATATCAACCGCCTCACAAACTTTAGAAAAATTCGAATATTGCTGCCACGAAAAAGTTTTGCGTTCAGCATGTTATAAAAAATATTTATAAACTAGACAAGAATTTGAAAACTTTAAGTCTTCACGAACGAAATTAAAACTACTAGTGAATATTTGAATTCAAATGATATCTCAAGTGATTGAAAACCATGGCAAAAACCATGAAAATACGCTGCGAACCCTTGAAGGAAAGACGGAACGGACTCATGCCCAGCTCTTGACCGATGCTGCGGCTGCTACTATGCCGGTCTCTTTCGACCAATTCAGCGATTTTATCGCAATTTTCGACGGCAGGCCTTCCGGAGCGTGGCGCTTCTTCGACCACCTCTACACCAGAACGAAAACGTTGAAACCATCGTTGTGCGGTGGAAATGGAAGCTGTATTGGGTCCATAAACTGCACAAATTTTATTAGCGGCTTGAGATGCATTTTTGACTTTATCGTAGTAGTACTGTAAAATATGCCGTATTTTCTCTTTATTTTGCGCCATGTTTGCGACGCCATAACTCACGAACGACTKAAAAGAAACGACAATCAATCAAACACGTGTTAGCGCATGAAATGAGCTTTCCAAAAAGGTATAGCATGACCCGATGCGACGAATAAAACTAGAACTACGCGCTCTCAGCGCCAACTACCGAAAATACCGCAAGACTTGTTTGAYAACCAAATATTTGAAGTTTCTGTTTTTTCTTTAAAAAAGTAGGGAAACTCGAATTGAATCATCTTTTATTTCGACTCAATATTCATCTTTACCTAGAAAAACACTTCAGAACAATGAAAACATCTTGTCTAAATAACTGCATATGTTTTTTCGAACTGCAACGAGCGCCTTGACTGAGAAGTTTAGATTAGTTATATTACGATTTCAGTTCTCCTGAATATTGGAGAGTTTATTGGAAGCGACATCTTGAAGCTCGTGAAGGTATTGTTGTATAAAGCAGAATATCTACGAGAAAAGAGTTTTCCATAAATCTCTCCAGGACAGCACAAAGCGACCAAGGTTACTAAGGCAGTTTGTATCAAACGATCACCACCAAGTTTGAATATSCGAAATGAAGTGGTTGCAGACACTTAGAAGGAAGTTGTAGTTTCTTAAGCCCAGCTTAGGTATCAAAAATACGCTGCGAACTTCGAACACAGCATTTAACAACAAATAACTACAATAAAT